CCAGCCCCTACAGAGGCCCAACCTGGACTCTTACGACGCGGAACTTGAAACTGAAAGGCTGATGCGGATCCAGGGCCTATCTGAGGCCAATAGGGCATTTTCAACATAGGATTCAATTAGCATCTGAAAGGGCATGTCCAGTAGTGCCGAAAACAATTTGTCTGAGGGAACCCGAAAGGCCCTGCTATAATCGCTATGATTTTTTGAAGGGCCCTCAACCGACCTTGTACCTTCCAAAGATTTTTCATAGGTTGCAATCGCGAAAACCCTAATCACGAAACCATGAATCGATCCCTTTCGAGAGAAACAGCTTACACACCTACACGTTTTCCAGAAGATAATTTGTGGATAACAATAGTGTGGGCAAGTTCAGAGCCCCAGTTCTCAGCCGGGTCGGTCCCCTCTTTGGGGGTGACGAGGCATGTATCTGGGAGATAGTAGCCGCTCAGCACCACTAACATTAACCCCCAAACCCCCTCATCATATTCGATACGATTCAAACCATTTAAAACCCTAGCCATTTTCCGCTTTTATGCGCTTCTAAAAATGCCCCCACAAACCAGGGCGTCCCATTCGACCTCCGTTGCCACGGCGTTCATTTCCTGGATATTTTCCGATCAGTCTCGATTCAAAATCAGGGCGCTACTTTTGAAAGGGTCTGCCACCGCCCCGATTGATCGCTAATTTTTCCGACTATTGACTCCCAACATTTTGCTGTTCATACCTCCTTGAATTTGCATCATTTTTCGTTTCTATTTTTTTGGCATATTGGCTTTTAGGGTAAAAACCAGGTTTGAGAGCGGCAAGAATAATTTTTGATTCCGGATGTGGACAAGCACGTTGTCGCCCAGTACCTCAACCTATGATTACAAACGGTAACTTTCTAATATGCAATCGCTTTCATAACTTGCTCTTCGTAGTTTCTTGCCCTTCCACATCCACGAAATCTCGCCAGATCTTGAAAATGTCACAATATTCGCGAATTGTACTGAGGATCAGAAGAAAACTATTTTCGACTATGACACCAGCAAGTTAGCGGTGAGTAATTTGAATTTTTAATCCCATTTTTTGCAAATGAACGGGTGCCGCCCGTTTTTTGCCTTTGCGATCTCAAGCTAGCCGAATGGCTATTAGGAAAGCTATAAAGATAAGCCGGAATTCCTGTCACCGGGTCGAACGCATGGCAGCTTTGTGCTTCGTTTGGGAGGGGGCAGGCATGATAAAAATCATGGAAGAAGGCTGGACGGAATGGAATCTACTAAAAAAATATATAATTTAGTTGGTCGACACTACGCTACCAGTGCTATGTATTATCTTATCTATATTTTCCCTGATAATCAATATAATTTTCCTATTCTTGACGGTCAAGGGGCTTATGGAGAAGAAATTGCCTTTGAAGGTAAGGTTGAACCTCGTTTTTGTAAATTCCTTAGGGTTACTCATTACTGATTAATCGATCCGTCACCGATATTCTCACCTGCTTTTTGACGTTGATATTCGTATCTCTGCACAAGCTTGTATTTATTCAAGGGAATCCGGAGTATCCTACACAAGAGAGGTCAGTATTTTCAAAACAAAAACGAGAGAATCGATTTATCTAGGAATATTAGCATTTATGAGGTGGATTATTTGATTCCGCATGGGAGAACGATGTTTACGTTATTGTTGACAGCCAATTTTGGTCTGCAGCAGGTTTACCAAAAATATGTTTAAAGTCGATGATGTTTAGGAGCTTATGGTGTTCTGGCTTTATTGACCTATCTGGCAATTCGGCATCCATGGCTGTATATGGCGAAGATATCGGCAAGAAGGATTAGTAAGTGTAGAAAGGGTTGATTTAACAATTATTTGAACTACGAAACAAGCTTGAAAAGGGGATCAGGTATTTTAACCAATTCTGTATGCAAATTTCACTACTGCTCAGGCGTCTCGCACTCCAAATCCATAATCCATCGACTGATTTTTCCGGATCCGTCTCGACCAATTAGAGCCCGCCGTAATTTCTCCCCTCAACACCCCAACACAGCGCTTCTTTTTGAGAATTATCACGCTGTGACCACTTCTATTCCACCAGCGCTGGGTGGTCGTAAAAGTCCCCGGGTTTGCCGGGATGGGATGAATGAAGAAATCACAGTCCCCGCCGCCGGGCCCTGACGTGTTTTTCCCACGGATGAGGTGTTGATTTTTGGATTCTGTTCTTTGGGAAATACAAAAAAAATGTTAGGGATGAGGTGCAAGAGATAAAATAAAAAATTCGAGAAATGGGGTAACAGTCGGACGGACATCAGAATCACATCAATTTTTCTCCTACGATCTCCAAAGAACTGCTTATTTTTAAAACAAAACAAAAAAAAGAAAAACGAAACTTCTTTCTATAAAAAGTTTGGCTGAAGCTCTAAGAGCCAAACAATTTCCCATTTTTCTATTTCAGTCTACATCATGCTCGGCGTCTGGGCGGTCGGCCTCATCTACTCCGTAATCGTCGTCTGCATCTCGGCCAACAACGCCTTTAACGTGTTCAACGATGCAAAAGATTTGATCCGTTGGAACGTTTCGAGTGAGGTTTGCACTGATCAATCGATTTTGTCTTATATTCAATATCTCTAAATTCCAAGGTAAACAGTTTTTTTCAGGATTACGTACTTTCAATCTTCAACCTTTTCATCGTGTTGGTGTCCTTTCTTATAGTGACAGTATCTTACGCTGCGATTATGGTCTATCTATATCGGAAAAGTAATGAATCTGGTAGTTTGGCTCATTTTTTACAAGTGTAGGCCGATTTTAGGGAACGCTTCACTGCATTTGATGTCAATTGGAAGATTGGCTTTAAATATTTTTGCGTTTTCGATTACTTGCATCGTGATGGCGGGCTTCGTATCGATTCCGATCATACTGAAGAGTCATATTGACTATTTAATTGCTGAAATTCAGGTGACCCTCACTCTCATCTAACTTAATCATAATTTTTTAGGAATCACAATGCAAGACCCTGGTAGCGGCCTATCAATTATCATATCAAATGGCCGAATGGACAACGGGTATTTTTAATAGACTATTTACATAACATTATTTTTAGCGGCAATGGTCGGGTGGCTCCTCCGGATGATAATGGATCCATTGGCAAATTTGCTGCTCGATACCCGATTTAAGCTGATTTATGGGCCCTGGTTTGTCATGTTCGACATGACACCAAGGAAAACGAGATCGAAGGTCGCTACAGAATTTCTACAGTAGGCGTCAACCCAAGATCTAATCGAAATCACTTTTTTAGAAAATGCGCTGAAGCAAATATCATGCCGATATCGATAATTTCTGGGGAAGGCCGGTACTTCCGCTTTAGAAGTTCATCGGTTGAAGAGGGCGGGCAAGTAGGTCTTTAACTATCTAAGCAATTCTATAGCTTAGTAGAAAACCATTCATTATAATTTTAGTCGCGACGAATGCAGAACGTACGTCGATTTGAACACGTCATACCGCTAAAAGAACGGGTGCTATAAGCCGCCAACATCAAATCATGAAACTACGGGTCGTTTCCCGAGCGAGACATGTCTATTTACCATATCAGACATGTGCTTGGGCTCAAGAATAAAATATTATTGCCTTGCCGTCATCCGCTTCTCTCTATCTTTCAGTAGCCCGAGACACGATTAGTGAAGTGTGGGCATGCGATTTTAAATGTGGCGCGATGATGAAAAATGGGACACATGTTGATCGGTGGAGGAAGAGAGGAGAGCGACATATGGGAGCGTTGGCTATTTGAATAGGCGGCTTGAAGCTATCGGTTTTTGGTGGTTTTGAAGGGCAAATCGGTTGCACATCTGTAGTCGCGACATTTGAGGTGACTGGCATTTGATGGGGCTGAAGGAGACGGGAAGAAGGGGTTGGAATTTCAAGGTAAGGGCTACTTCTGTTAGAGAGGGATAGAGGGAGAGCGAGAGAGAGAGAGAGAGAGAGAGAGAGAGAGAGAGAGCAAGAGAGAGATACCGAGGAAAACGAGGTAGAGGGAGATAGCGAGATAGGTAGAGAGAATGAGCTAGAAGAGAATAATATAGAAAAATGAGCAAGAGTGGGCGAGAGAAAGAACTGTCTCTTTTCAGCTAACAAAGCATTGAAAGCGCCAATAATTTATCAGAATGCACTAGAAGTATGAAACTATGGAAATAACATGGCATACCGTATCCCAAGATTTTTCTTGTTCGCCAACAAACTTTTTGTCGAAAACAATAATTCCAAATCACACAGCTCCAATTCATTTCAACCCTAATTCCCCTCCCCAGCACCCCATTTCGGACTCGTTCCCAATCTTCGGCTCAACACAACTGTCAACCAACCCGGTTAATGCCCCCTCTGGGGGTGAACGGTTTTTGAAAAATGGGCGCGCCGTCCGCGAGCCTTCTGGTGTACGCAACATATGCTACAACCGACCAACCCGTCCGGGACACAACTTTGAACGGGGCCGGCCGATTGATGGGCGACGATTAATTCTGAGGGGAGGGTGCGCGGAGAGGTGGCTGAGAGGAGAGAGAGGGCAGGGGGAGGAGGAAGAGCAGGAGGACGTTCGTCCCAACCCGGTCGTCGGGGACAAAAACTCGGCAACGGCGCTGAATACCGTAGACAAGTTAGGGATTTGGGGACGGGAGTCGGGATGTGATGCTAGGGCAAGCATGCGAACGAGTATCAGAATGCTAATTGGCTTAGTCTGCAGCTTCCAGGGCTGCTTGATGCGCGCTTTTGCCAACGCGTGCAATTTGCGATATGAGTTTCGGAATCTATATGCAAAACTACGGCCGAAAAATGTTGCCGAATAATCTTTGGAAGCCTAGAGAAAGCAAAAAAATCCGAGCTTTTTACGCTGAACTTTTTCGAACATTGAGGGAGGTCAACCATGGAAATCGGCCATATCGATAGGCTTAGGCTTAGGCTTAGGCTTAGGCTTAGGCCTAGGCTTAGGCTTAGGCTTAGGCTTAGGGTTAGGCTTAGGCTTAGGCTTAGGCTTAGGCTACTCCTGGGAAAGGCTGTCGGCTAGGATCCAAATTTCTATACAACCTGACAGTGAGCCAGATGGGTGTCGCGTCGGTGTCCGAAGGGTCACCTTAGCTTTTGGATGGTTTTCGCCATGCTAAATGATACCAAAAATTTAGTGATTTGCAAGGATAAAGAAGGCGCGTAGAGGTCGGCAATGCCCTAACGGGGTTTGAGGTTTTGGGCCACATCGTGTGTTGTGGTGTCAAGTGGAGTGGGCCCTCTATCTGAATGACAACAGCATGACAGAGCCATTTGTCTTCCCCTCGCAGCCCCGCTACATCCCAGTCCCTACCAACAGATTCCAACCCATTCAATGTACTTCCCGATATTGGCTTGCTAGAAGGAGGGCTAGTTTTTAACAAATTTGAGCATCAGCTGCGGAGCCGCGGCGACCTGGTGGGTTTTTGGCATTGATTGACTCTCGGTGGTTCATTTTGTAGTTTTCTTGAGCTGATCGAGGCTGTTTTAACTGAAATTTTGATGTAAACTTTTTCATTGACTTCTTGCTTATTTATCGTACTCCTCAACTCTTCTCTTTCGGGTCCCGATTTCGTCTGCCCGCCGCCACCTGCCGCCTCATTTATCTGCCAGGTGTTGCATGCTTCGGGACGGCGACTCAAAAGTGCAAATCGCTTAGACTTTCCTAGCGACACGGTACTTCGTCTATTCCACACCTTGTGCTCTTGGAAGGGATAGTGCCGAGATTCTATCGGGTGGTGTTGCCTCTTTCAACTGTTCGCAACAGGACCGATCTTGGCTTGGCTAGGTTGGAGATACGGTCTGGGGGAAGGGGACCTCATAGGCATGCCGTGGGTTCATTTGCTAGTTTTTCGACAACCCAGGGTAAGCTACAGTAGCCCGTAGACAATTTGGAAACATTTTTCAGCGCCTAAAATCTGTTCCTTTCGACTGTTACCTTAATGAAGCCGTGTCTCTAGGACATAGGAGCTTATACTTTTGTATCTTAACAGCCCAAGCTAAGGTCTTTGAGGGAAAACAGAGCCCATGTTAGTGATAGGCTTGAATGATGTAACATACTATAAATAGTAATAGTAAAAGAACTTATTGATTTTTTGTAAAGAGCGCAGAGACTATATTAAACCATGTCCTCCCTAATGTATTTTCATACCCGGGGCCTTGTCAAACTGCTTTCTTAGTACCTTCAGGGTCAATAAATCTTTGTTGTTCTACTGCTTCAGTCCTCGTAAGCTTCATAAAGCTAGCCCAGGTGCTGCGGTTTTTCGATTCATTCCAGACTTACGCTCTGCCTCTATACTTCCCGTTCTCCGATTTCCGCTTCTCGCCCCAGATCCAGAAAAAGCGGATCGCTGGGGCCCACGGCAATACGGTGATGCAGGGCCCCGCGGACCTTTTTCGCAGGACAGCGGCCCAGGGCCCTTTGAGTATGCCGGGGCCATCAGTATCAGCCGATGGGTGGGCCCCCGACCCCCGGCGGGTATCATCCATTTCCCCATTCCTTGTCGAGTCTACCGTATCCCGTCTCTGCATAGCTGTGGAGGGCTACCCGCTGGGCAGCCGCCAGCATCGGGACAAAAGCCGCTGCCCGCAAGTTCGCAAAGACTTACCAGGTTGCAGGTTCATTGCAGGAATGTAGGGGAGATGGTTTTGGGTCGGGTTTGAAAGGTTAACTAAAGTTTTTTGATCGCGCTACGCCCTCGTTTATGCGCTGCCACTTCGGCGTCACTTGGAATCCTCGTAGCCTGGACTCTGAAGATTCCAAGGATTTAAAAGACCGTTTGCGATGGGACCGAAAAATGCTTAGCAGTGTCCTGTTTTTTTGACGCCATCTGATAGAGCATGGTCGAATAGGGCCGCATGTTTTGAAAGTTTAAAGAGTTTATTTTGATGGTTCAAATCAGTATCAAAGATGCAAAACCAGAAAAATTATCTCGAAAGTTATCGAATCAAATTGGCTGGGAATTTGCGACAATAATAATTTTCGGATTAAGATTATAAGGTACCTTAAGCGCCAGATCCTTAGTTCCCTTTAAGGAAGGCCCTATTTTTGAATTACTAGCTTTTGCAGAAATTGTCGTTTCAGAAGCCCAGCATGTGATACCTGAGACTGGCAAAGTTCGAACAACCACCCCAATCTTGCATCCACGTCAAAGACATCGGCTCCCGGAAACCGCCCACCGATTTATCACTTCTCCGATTTCGACGCTTTTTTTATGCGAAATACAGTAGTACCGTTACACCGGCCGTCTGGGTGGGGAGGCGGATTTTTATTTCTGCTGCAGGGAGTTCAGGAGATCTATGGTATTGAATTAAAGAAAAACGAGTGTGATAAATGCCTTATCAGTATTTTTTTACAGGTTATCGGGATACTTTCGCTTTCATGATAGTCTGACATTAGAAGGGTTATTCAGTTTTAGTTAGAGAAATTAAAGTGAAAGTTCGTTTGCTTGTGACCTTTCAGGCTTTACGTATTATTGAAAAATTAGGCTACCTGAGCGTCATTTAAAAAAGAAGGTGAGCCCCGCATGGTTTAAGACAACCTATGAAAAATGCTTCAATATTCAAATCTGGTTATATCTCTCCCATAGCTTTATCTCAACCCTGCAACTAGTTGAATAATGACTTTATGGCCAACCCCTCATCCCCTTACGATCGGCCAACAATTTACAACAACAACGGCAAAATAACAGAAGGCGTCGAGCATTGAGGAGCAAGAGGTGACAGTCACGCTAAGGCAACTGCCCGTCTCCAATCGATTCATTTCGTGGGTTGCCCTGCCCAGCCATTTGGTGGTTGGGTACCGTAGGTGCGGCCCCGCCCTCTTGCTCCCCTCCCCGTCTTCCGTGGCCGACCACGAAATTGCTGCTCTCCATCTTCAAAATGGTCCCGTATCAATCAGACATGGAGGGCCGCCGTTTACCCATTTGCCATTTTACCTCAACGTTCTCAAAGCATCCTTGACGTCATCTATGCAGATATTTGAGTTGGAGCATAGTTTATTCCTAGTATATAATATTTCATGGGTAGGGGACAGATTACTAGCATAAGTGACAATGTATTGCGTTACTTAAAACTTTAAGCACCCAGCCGTTGTATTTTTTTTAATTTTTGAAAATAGAGAACGTTGCCAAATGTTTCAAAGGTACAGGTTTCTAAGTGTTTTAGATTTCCTTTGGTTATGCTAAGCCTAGGTTTTTGCTAGGCAACCGTGTTCATAAAGCGCTGAAAATTTAAAGAATCACGTACTCAAGTATCAGCTGTTGCAAACAGCAACTTCAGAAATAGAATTTTTATAACCTGACACATGTCTCCTAAGCCTAAGCTGACACATGTCTCTTCTAAAATTTTCCATTGACATCACTTCCTTAGATAAATGTTGTTGATGATTGTCAAGCGCTAATTAATTCATTACTACCACTAACTAGTAGAACTTGGGGAGGATCCGAACTTCGTGTGCAAATTTTTGCGATACAAACTATTATTCAAATAA